GGGGGGGGGGGGGGGGGGGGGGGTGGTGTGAATCTACTATTAAAATGTCACCTCTCCCTCCCTCCCCCCTTCTTCTCTCCTCTCCCTCTTGCGCTAGAGTAACATGACATGTTTACACACTGATATTTTTGTTATTACCAAATGGGGATGGCGCTGTCCAATTTCATGAATCAAAAAGGCATTGTTTAGAATCTCACTGTCTGTTGAAGAATATACTTACATGATAAACAAATTCATGAGTATAGCTCAGTCTTACTTTGACCAGTTTGTTGAATGGATGAGACATTAGACACATAACTTGAAGTTTGGCCAATTTGTTTGCAGGAGGAGGAAGAGATGGACGTGGAAAATGAAAATGAAGAAGAGAACACCAAGCAGGAGAACATCGACAAGGGGAGCTCCCCATCTAAGGTCAAAGGTCACAGCCCAGAGATCAGTCAAGAAGGCAGCACCAAAAAGAAAAGCCCTCCTGCTGGTGGAGAAGGTCGTAGGTCAAAGTCGCCCAAAGGTCACCCAAAGGTCAAAGGGAAGGAATCGCCAGCAAAAAGCGAGGAAAGCAAAAAAAGGAAACCGACCACACCTACCAAGTCTGACAATGTGGAAGAACATGATGTGCCTGTTTGTACGAAGAAAAAAGGCCCCTCTGGTTCACCAGGTTCCAGCACAAGGCCAACCTCTCCCAAATCTTCAGAGACATCAGATGGTAAAAAGGATTCAGCAGACAAAGTTAGTCCCAAAAGAGCCAAGAGCATGTCCCCAAAAGGGGAAGGGAATAATAAAAGGAGAAAGACCCCAACCAAAAGTAATTCTCCAAAATCTACAAGTCCTGGCATTCTTATATCACCTTCTAAAGACCTTCTTCTCAAAGCAAAACCAGTTATTGAGGTGGAGGATATAAAAAGTCCAAGTAAAGTTAAAAGGGAAAGGAACCCAGCTGTATTAACTGAGTCAAGTCCCAAAAGGAAGACGGGTGCTGGGAATAAGTCACCTAAAATGTCAAAAAGTCCTGAAGAAGGAAAGAAATCTGCAAAAACAACCAGTCCCAAAGTCAAAACTAAAAAAGAAACCCAAGGTCAGGTCAAGGTCACACCTGATAGGAGTCCATCAAAAGAAGACAAAATACCGCAAGAGTTGGAGCCTCTGGATACTAAAACAGGAGAATTACGAAAAAGTCCTGGAGAAAAAATAGAACATGGGAATAAGAAAGATCTGCCTAAAATTCAGCAAGAACCAAAGGCTTCCCCAGAGAAGAAGTCTAAAAGTAAGGCCTCAAAACTTCCAGAGACTGCAAAGTTAGTTGATGAAGGAGATGATGAAGGAAAAACTGCCCAGGGAAGCTCAGCAAAAACTACACCCCCTGCTGGAAAAGGGAAAGGTACAAGAAATAAAACACCAGACAGAAAGAAAACAGGCAAAGGTGAAAGTGTCGGAAAGAGTGCAAAGCAGAAAAGTCCAGACGGTAAGAAACTTGCCAAAGAAGACGATGAAAAGAATGGAAAAATGAAAACACATGATGGAAAGAAACCTGAGAAAGATGAATATGTGCAAAAAGGATCAGATCCCAAGATTCCAGAGGGAAAGAAACTTGGAAAAGATGACAGTGGAAAAGAGAAGGATTCACAACCCCCAGAATCAAGGAAAAAGACAGAAAATGTTATATCAAAAAAAGGTGATGAGGAGTTCTCTGACAAGGAAGAAATGGAAGGTACTAAAAAAACAGAAGAATATGACCCCCTCCCAAAACCGACTTCAAGGAAGGTAAATGAAAATGAAGATGAAAAGAAAAATGTTCTACCTGAGGAATACAAGCTGTGCTCTGAAGAAGCTTCAGCTTGTCCTGGGGCAAAAGAATCGATACCATGTGACCAAGAGGAGCCCAAGTCTAAGCAAGTAAAGCCTTTGGTTCCAGATGCTAAAGAGGACCAGGAAATTAAAACTGATGAAAACCACTAGATTTTTCACAGATTATTGCATGATTAAACCAAAACTGAACTTTTAAGGTTTATCATAGCCTCTTGTGCAATGTCAGTGACTAAAAAATTAATTTTTTTCTTAAGAGACTAAACGATTTTATACATTTTTTTCTTTTTTGAAGTTTTGTTTATTTATTTATTTATTTATTTATTTTTTGTGAGGATTGAATTTTTCTCAGTGCATTTAATATTTAACGAAGTGAATTATTTTCCTCAAGGGTGCTGAAGTGATTCAAAGCAAAAAAAAAAGAAGGGTCTGCTTGGATATTGTTTTAACTCCAGAACTTGTATGCAGGAAAATATTTTTTAAATATTTTTTAAAAATTGCTTTCGTAAATTGTTCTCCTTTGCATTTATTTTGTGCAACAAACAAATCCCTTAAATTTATGCGATATTTGTCAATATTTTACCTGGCACTTCCCAATATGTAAACAATTCTGCTACTGATGTTTGAGTTTATTAAACGTTAGCTGATTCATTTACTACATATACATGTACTATATACACATAACATTGTTTTGTAACTTGGTTTTCTTAACCACTGGTTAGTTGTCTTTTAGTTTTTTAATAAAGCACAATTAGATGCTTGGCGTTTGTGGACCGTACCTTTTCCCATGTTTTGAAAAAAACATAGGGTGAGCTGCATCATTTTACCGAGAAGTTTACCATTTGACAACAGGAATATTATTTTGACTTATATGTGGTAATATACCAACATACCACTTCAGTCCCACAGCCTGAGACAACTGAGCTGTATAGTGATAGTGGCTTACCTGTAAGAACAGTAAGACTATTCCGTTTATATATATATATAGATATTTATGTATACACACACATATATTTTTCCCTTTCCTTCCTTTCTTTTTTTTTTCATAAATAATATATATATATATATTTCTGTGACACATGCTTTTGACTGCCAAATGAGTCCCTAGACCCGCCAATTATTGTAACACCACCGTGTATAATTATTTGCTTTCCAAAGGCTCATTTCCATGGAAAGGATATATATATATATTTATGCTAGACGCTGAGAACCTGAAATGTTTTCTAATTTCCTCGTCAACAGATATGTGGATTTATAATGTATTGCAATCCAGGGGTAGCGGAGTATGCTTTGGTCCACCGATCTCTTGTTTTAATTTATCTCCCCCTCCCCTCCTCCTCATCATAACAACATTACTGATCTATAAGCACAGGCTTCAAACAACTACGCATGCGCGAAAAGTGCGCTGTTTGAAATGGACAAGTTGGTGAAATTGACAAAGCCTGCCGGTGTTTACCGTCTGGTTGATTTTATTTCATTTGCTCTCTGGTGTCTTTCTGAAAATTTATATTAGAAATGTTCTATTGATTTTATGTTGTAAAAAGTAAATCCGTCGGAATTCCTTAGAATAACATTTATTTCACCTTCATTTTAAGGGGATTCCCATTGTATTTATAGTGTTGTGGCCCCAATGGGGATTTTTCAAGATTTTTCACCCCTCCCCCACTCTTGATTAATAAAATTCTTCATGGGCCAGATTGAAAATGATATTGCAAAATACATTCAAAATCGTAGGAAGGTTAATTGCAGATAATGCTGCGAGGACATTCTTGTGCAAGGGCGAACTTGGCCAATATATATATATATATATATTTTTTTTTTACTTCGTCTCCCGGTTTAGGAGCGCCTGTTCTAATTTTTGAAAGCGAGGCAATGGAATCAAACAATACGATGCAATATGTAATCTCGTAAAAATTGCTATTTTTAAATAAAGACCATAGCATGGAGTACATTGAAATGCGACTCGTTTATTATTGTGATCTTCAATAATGATTAATATAAAAGATACGATGTAAAAGGTTCTTATCGACGGCCTATTTATTAGCTTTATAGATTTTTAAAAGTATTTGGAGATTAAAAACACAAAAGCTGTCATGTTTCAAATCGGGGGCCCCACATTTTGTTCGTGTGCTTGATCGATACGGATTGTCCATAAACCGGTCTCCTGAAGATGACAGCACACCAGCGTTCTCGGTGCAACGCTAAACCTTACCTACACAATCAAAATTCATCAAGGAACGATGGCTTGCTTTTTAAATCATTTATTTATTTATTTATTTGACTGACAAAATTTGAGAAACATTTTAAAATTATTAAGGGGAAAACGAGGCATGCTATCGTAGTCTTATTTCCCCAAATCCAATTAAATAATGACGAAAACACCGTCTTAACACCGGTAACTTATCTCGCAACCAAGACAACAGGCATTTTAAGCCTAAATTACAGGTATTAAGATGCATGTATCCGGGAGATAATGCAACACGCATTGTAGACGACAACCGTATCTCATTAGGCCTACTTATTTGTAGGCCTATCTAGAATCCTTGGTTTCAGGATTACTAATACTTCTCAAGGTATATACTCAATTTGCCCACGCTTAAATTTAAAACGTTACTTAGACCTGACGTGAAAAAGAAGGAAAATCTTGTATGACTCGATTTAACCTTTTAACGGAATGCCTAACAGGCACGTATGTCGTGAAACAGAAAAAACACCGAAACTACGAAAGAAAGATAACAATATAAGCAAAATGATTTTATGTAAAATGGCTTAATTACCAACGCGCATGATAGTTCATTTCATATATTGGCTTCTGTTTTAATACGCATGCTTCAATGCCTACAATAGGTATGCATAAATGCCGGGAGTCTATCTTGTCTTAAATCATTTCAATTAATTTCCCCAAAAACTGGAAATTAAATTTTGCTTTTTAGATTTAAAAGGAGTAATGTTATTACTCTGATGAAATTTGAAAAAACTCGTATAACATTCGTATAGAAAATGGCCGGCATATCATTATTTTAAATTTGCTCCTGGTCCATCTTGATTGGCTGGGATGTGAGCTGCTCCCACATTTTCTGGCCATTGTTTTCCTCTTTGGCCAACTTTTTTGCTCCATTGTATGGGGGATGTATGTGTAATCACTTAATTTAATGTTGTGTTATTATTCCCTCATTTTGTAACTTCCTATCATGTTACGTTTAGTCACTTTAATAAATGACAATTTTCAGTCAGATGGATTCATTTCTTATTTATTTTTCAGCAAAAAATCGAAATTTGTTGTGCTTGTCAGCGTTTGGCTACATAAATGTAATTGCTTTAAGGACATTGTCACCCTTCGCCCACAACTGCTTATTTACTGCCTCAGGTACATTCTTTTAGGTAATGGATAAAAATTTTCAGTGTTCACTGACTAAATAAATCAACATTGACACATGAAATCTAACGGGTGGCGTCATAGATTGCTAGACATCGGCTCTTCTCGATGTGAATGCTCTTATAGTTGCGATTTTGGGGTAAAAACTGAAAAAAAGGGTTTCTCAAATTTCTCCTTTACCTGAGCACCCACGATCAGGGATCCAAATGTAAAGTATGTTTACTGGTACTTATTGTGTAAGTGCAAACGTATATATTCCTTCTGAGCTCCATGTATATTTCCACGTAAAATATTTTAATAAACTTCTCTTAATTAAGCGTTCCTTGCTCATTCTAAAATTACAGCGTTATGCAACATGTACCAATTAAGCCTGTACGTCCTTAACCTTAAATGTTTCAGTACATGTAAATAGGCCTCTTTCCTCACCACTGTACTTAGAACATCTGCCCATTGTGGCAAAACCTTATTAAATTGCTCCATAGTATTAAATAAAGCCCTGTATCGTATGCACGCCGAGCCATTTCAGAACAAGACTATTAGTTAATATGTACCTACGTTATAGGTATAAATCATATTTCTTTAGTTTGTGCATGAGGAAATTAGTTATGTCTATACTTACTAGGGTGACATTTGTGCTAAAGACTTAACGTTGGATAAGATAATGCCATCCATACTTCTCTTGGCGCGTGCATGTTTGCGTGTGTGGATAAAGCAATAATTGAGTATAAATGAAAAAGAACAGTATCGTTATAGCTCGCATAAGTATTTTGTCACAGAATGAAAAGGATAATTGGCATATTGTTATCAATACTCATTGGTCTGACACTAACTGTGACGTGTCTCGTGACTTAGTAAACAGGAGGCGGTGACAGAAGTGCTCAAAGCGCTCGATAGCGTTCGGTCTTATTCACTTGTGATCATTGTGGAAAACATCCTTGACAAAAATCGTCTTGGAAAAATTACAGCCGATAGATTAAGGGACAAAATCGATTGGCAAAGGTGACATCTTCTTTTGAGAGGCATACAAAGCAAATATCACTGCGAAATGATGCCAATGAATTCAAGCGATAACAATACAACAGAAGACATACCTAACTTGTGGAACCAGCCAGGATTTTTTGATGATACCAGATGGGCCAACATCATCGTGACTTTGTGGATCAGTATCGTGGCAATCGTTGGAACATTCGGTAACATTTGCGTACTTATCATCACAAGAAGAACTCCGTCTCTGAGAACATGGTGGAATTCATTCCACATTAACTTAGCAATAGTCGACCTGTTCATGTCAATCTTCGGCTGCCCGGTATTCGTTATGATCGTTTGGTCATGGGATGAATCAACACTTTTAATCAAATGCTTTCTAGGGCGTGTTTTAGCCGTGGGACCCATTATGAATATTTTAGTTTTGACAAGTATAAGCGTCGTGCGAGCAGCAAAATTCCACAAGCCTCGTCTGACTATCCGTAAGCATATTTTTAAAATATGTTTGGCTGCACAATGGACTCTTGGCGTATTGTTCTTTGCCGCAGTTTCCTCGTCTGACGGTAGGATTGTGATCTTAATGCAATGTCACAAGTTGTGGAAACAGCCACCCGGTTTTTTTTACTTCTTTACTAATGCAGTAGTGATGATCTGTGTTATAGTAACATTCGTATCTTATCTGTCAGTCGTGAGAAAATTTATAAAGCACCGCAAGTTAATTAAACCTTACTACACTGGCTATTCTGTGCAAACAGTATCTGCCAGTGTAGCTGACACGTTTTTGGCGGAACGTGGCGAAAACAGAGTAGCATCACCTTCTCCGACTTTTACTTCTTTAGAGCGTGTCTCACGACCGGATCAACAAAGTCATCGTTCTCGTGTACCAAAATGTACAGCAAACCTGCCATCGGCGATAGACGACATTTCAGATAGAGAGGATCACGATCTTGGCCTACCAGAAGTTTCAGATAGAGACAATCATGATCTTGACCTACCAGAAATCCTACCAGAAACCACGCAGCACATGAGCCTATCGCAATTTTTCCACGGAGAAAATCGCTCCAACTTTCAAGTTCGATGGACAAGAGGCAACGAGACCCCGGACACCATAGACATAATAGCACAAGAAGCGACCGAAGAAATGGAAGTGCGCACGGGTTCCGACATGCACTACGTAAAAATAATACAGAACGACCAGCAGGTTATTGTGTCCAGTTTGATTTTATTAGCCTTTTTTGTTGTTAGTATTTTGCCTTTTGTGATTGTCGCTATGGTATTTGAGTCACAATCTCTAAATGTAAGTACAAACCAGTATATCACTAATTTAATTGCATGCTCATTTGCATTTATTAATACATGTGCTAATCCTTACATATATACACTGAGGTCACGGGTATTTAGGGAACGTCTAACTTCTATAATTCATGATATTGCTAATTATTTTCCGCGTAGAGATAGTTCCTCTCAAACTGTAGAGAACAATTTCATTTAGTTATTTATTGTAAGTCTATCATGTCCAATGTATGAACTCTATTAATTTAAACGACATGAACAATTTATTTTTCATTTGCTGCCAATAAAACAGCAGTAGAGCTAGAGTCATAACGTTTTTCATTTAGAACATGTTTTCTCAAATACGACACAGAGATTGTACACAAACACCTGAATGTAGGCCTACTATCACATGTACCGGTAGCATGAATTTGGTCTGTATAACATTAATCCCTGAATGCTGTAAAGCCGCACGAAAACGGAAACGGAAAAACTATATAGAAATATGAATGAGGCGAGATTGGTACAGTTGCTAGTACATTGTGTGCCGATTCTGGTGGGGTTGAGTAAGAGCCTTATGGGCCGTTCCCATAACCGTAGCGTACAAGCAGGATCGAGCTATCTCCGAAGGGTTTCTCGCTAAATTGCATTCAGTTTAAGCGAAAGTCAGCCCCACCCCCAGCAGCTTCAGTGGGCGTGACAGACATTTAAGCCGCTTAAACAGCATGCAGTTTACCGAGAATCCCCTCGGAGTTAGATCGATCCTGCTTGCACGATAGGTTCATGGGAACCCAGTTTGGGGATTGATAAACCCATCGTCGGGCATCTGCAAGCGCCCTTATATGCAACTGAGGTTGGGGCTCTTCCTCGAGAGAGGATGCTTTTATTTATTTTTTTTTTTTCACATTTTTTTACATTTTTTCACATTTCCGCTCCCTGTTCCAAAATCATTACACTGTACAAGTTGGAAAATTTAGGATTGATAGACCTTTAAGTGAGTATAGGAATGAATTTAGTTTGGTTATCATCCATAATCCGGATACGGCCAGGAACATGCATTTAAATACCTATGGAAGTAGGAGCCCAGGGGATGGTTGGTGATTGGATTTTGTTTTGCACGTAAATTAAAAAAAACATATTGTATTGTAATAGATGCTGTAACGATACTTACATGCAGTGATGGTGTAATGATGTAATTTTGCTGTAGTACATGTATACTGAAGTACTGGTGTAACGAGTGGATACAATAAATATTTACCCGCAAAAATAACTTGCTAATTATACTAGGAAAACAAGAAAAACAACGTCTTTCATTAAATATTTTGCCATAGCAAGTAAATTTACGTGGATATCTATCACCTTTTGGGTATCTTTGGCTTTGGTATATACTGATGATCTACATGCAGTGTGAAAGTGGAGACTATGGAATGCTCTACCTGCAAAGACAACTTTAAAAATGAAAAAAAAAAGCATATAATAAGTTGCAACAGTTACAAAGTTTACAAAGTTTACATTGGTACCGACCACTTTTTTCTCATGTATGTTATTTGCACTGAAGTCCACGTATAGGGGATATAGGCTTTGAACGCACTTCATCTGTGAAAAACAGTGAAAAAATATGCAAAAAAAGGGAATTGAACATAAGTTCAAATCACCATAGCAACAAAAATAAAATGGGCACCCATCAATTTTCAATCTTAATATGGATATAAAAGTCGCATGTTAAAATTTAAGAATATTTTATTAGACAGAAATCTCATAAGGACATTAACTTAAGCCACCTATGCACTGCCAATCAAATTGTCTCGATGCTTTTATGTCATTTTCGATTTTATTATTGAACATTTTTAACTGAGGGTCTCTCTCCGTTAATAGACCGCTCCCTCCAATTTTGTTATGACATAAATAGTTGATCGTAATGAAACACACCACTGCAGGAGGCACAATGTGATACTTAATAGAATGTAAAAAATCTTTATGCTATAATTATGCACCAACAAAGCGTCAAAGCGAGTTCGAAAACATGTTTACATGATGACCCAAATCCAATATGGACTGAATTAATAAAGACTTGGAAAATAAAAAAAAAATAAGATAACTTCTTATAACAGCAATCAAGAAATAATTTTAAAGACAATGGTAAGAAAGCGCCATTTGATTTCGTTCTAAAGTGCACCACCCTTAGTGTCAGGGCACTGTAAACCTAGCTTGCTCACTAACCTTTTCATGTGTTAGCTTTACAGTACACTCTGTATTGCTGATGTGGGTTATATATGAAATTAAGATAGAGCTGGCAATACCGAAATCTAGAACCTAGGGTAAAGTGCACAAGTGCCACTCCAATTATTTGTGATGTGATGAGACAGTTACGGTCAACACGATAACGTGCGAGGCACAACTGCACAATCACATTCATGGCCTCGACCCTTGCCATCTTGCCCATGCACCACAGACTGAGCCTTTACTATGTTTGGTGAAGCCTAGAGAGCACTCACAACAGAGTAGATCCGCGGACTAACAGATCCGTGGATCAAATATGGCCGACCTACTTGAAAGCTAGCCGTGTAATCCCGGCGGGTAATCTATTCAGTGTGGAGATTATGCGGCTAGCTTTCAAGTGGGTCGGCCATATTTGATCCTCGGATCTGATAGTCCTGGGATCAACTCTGTTGTGAATGCGGCCCTCGCCAGCTGGGGCCCTTCTGGTATGATATGCATGCATGGTAAGTATTATAGAGAAGTGTAGATCACAGGATTTAAGTACAAGGGTCGTAGATAAGAGGTACGATGATATACTGTAAACACGGCTTCAGTGTACGGTCAATACGGTAGAGCCTCTTGAACACGACGCAGACATAGAATGAGGGCTTGGTAGCTGATTTTCAACTGCTAAGCTAAAACCTTGGTGAATTGTAAACGCCAAACGTCAGGAAATAAAAAACATCATGCCAAATGTTGTAAATACATGTAAATGCAATAAATTTAGAAGTTTGAAAAAAATCTTAGTAACAGAACAATAACAAGGAGGGGTCAGCACATGGTACGTACTTTGCTGATTATGGATCTTGCAACGAGAAATTAATAAAATCAATGTCAAAATTGAAATCACAGTTATCAAGTGAAGATTTTCATATTTTTCAACGTAGTACCATTTGTTTAAAATCACGATGACAGATAAAGAACCCTGACTATAAATTAGGCACTCTCTTATCACCCCGTGTAAAGACGGTGGGATAAGTCAACCTGAATGACCTCATTTTAGTGCGCCTCAATCGACATTTTGGTTACAAGGTGAGACCACATAGACAGAACTATGAGTAAACTGGTGGGCAAGTGGAAATTCGAATCCAGTGAGGGATGGGAAGAATACATGAAGGGTTTGGGTAAGTGCCTTTACGTACCTCTCCATCCGGGGCCCTATGCCCCTCCCCCAACTCCCCTCCCCCAAAATAAAATGATGGTTTAACTGGCCAAGCGTTAAGACCAACATCGCGTAGACCCCGTTTCCATACCTAGATCGATCTAACAAGATCGACCCATCTCCGAGGGGCTTCTCGCTAGTTGTATTCAGCCTAGGCGGCTCTGATATCTGGCACGCCTACTGAAGCTGTAGCCGGAGGGGGTCGGCTAAATGTAAAGCAAATTAGCATGATAAAAAAATTGGTCATTCCACAAAAACGTGAACATTATTTGGCGTCATGAGAGATTATATAGTGAGAGACCGTGAAAAAAGTAGGGAGTTAAACAATCAGTGACGTGTACCACCCAGCTTTAAGTTCGTTCAAATTTTTATCAGGCAACAAAAGGCCTCAAAATTTGAAAGACAGTAGGAAGTTTTTAAAGGGGTTTTACCTTTAATGACTTTAATGACCCTTGTTGGATATGAAAATTGCCTTGTCCATTAAAAAGATCAATGAGAACTGTATAAAACAAGGATTGATTATGTCCTAAACAAATCGCAATTTCTGTTATCTCTAGATGTTGGATTTGCTCTAAGAAAAATAGGCGGAATGACAAAACCACAGGAGGAAATTTCCATTGACGGCGACTTCTGGCAGCTTGACATTTTGTCTACTTTTAAAAATATCCACCTCAAGTTTAAGCTGGGTGTGGCGTTTGAAGAACACACGGTAGATGGCAGGACTGTGCAGGTAAGCGCCAAATTTCTCTGAAGGTGCACAGGAACTCGTGCATTTACGTTTATACAAGAAAAGTACAATTATGTTAATAATAATGCCCGTTTGAAGGTCCTTCTACCATCATTTATATATTTTATATGAGGTTGCGGTAGCACAAGTACTGCACTATTTTTATGGATAGTGCTTTTGGTGGAAAGTTGTTCCCTCTTGTAAAACCTTTTTGGTTTATATGTCGCGTTACAATTAAGAGACGAATGTTCTCCTGTGCGCTCTAAAAAGGTGTTATCGCATATTTATGGCAAGTCATGGAAAACGAAATACCAATAACACCAAAAGCTTGTTTTTCTGAGATGGAAGATGTGGCCTTGATTTTAGACGTGGTATGTCATCTTAAAATTGCCAAGACTCCAAGTTAGCTAAATCTAAAGACATTTTGTCATTTTGATATATTTTTGGGAATATCTTTATTTTTAATACAAAGTATAGCATGTAATGAAAGGTGGTAAATCTCCGAATCGTTATGCGCTCACTTTTCGATAATAATAATAATAGTAACAATAATCATAAAATTAATAATAAATTTTGATGAACACATCGACACATTTAGTTTTCACGTGCAGTTTTTAATTCACATTTCAATATCATATAGGCCTACATGTGCCTTTTTAGATACATCAATTCACTTTCAGCAGCTATTATCAGCATGTCTTCATGAAGTTGTTATTGTTATGTACCCTCTACCGGGGTGACATATTGATTTTTCACAGATATTCAAAGGTATGTCTCTAGATAAATAGACAGTCATTTTGGTCTGCAAAATATGTCCACAATAATAACTGCGGCCCTGGTAGAGGGTAATTGTCATGCATGTTGTAAAGTATTTTTTCAGTTCTCGACGCTGCTCTTTTACATGATCTTCCTCAATTACATCTTCATCTTTTGATTACGGTAATTTCACTGCTAGGAAGTTGTTAACAGTGGTTTTTTTTATTTAAACAGGAATACATAGAACAGTTAACACGTTGTTGATCCACGATTTTTTTTGCATAGCAAATACTGAGAAAGAATTGTATTCGAGAAAGAATTATATATTCGGACGGCGTAAAAGCGAATATATTAACATATATACTCCTGAAAGTTGCCAGTGTGTCTTTGTCAAAATACGAGATCATACAATTCAATCCAATTCAATTTATTTCTGTACTGGTACATAAATAATCATGACTTTGTACAATGTAATATAATGAAACAATACAATTGGTGCACTACCAGTCTCTAATTGGTAAATGGATTGCCAGTTTGTGAGTGAACAAGTATATATCTTTATGTAAAACAAAACAGTTATAGACTTTGTGTTTTGATCAGCAAGCGGCTGTGTCTTCTACATGTATTTGTCTTGTATGCAAAATTCGTGACAAAAAAAGCTCTAGACTTTGTGTTTCCATCACCTCGATGAATTATTGACCCTCTACAGGGATAAATGACCCCCGCCTTCGGCTCTACTCGTGCAATAATCTACAGCTTATGTAGCTTATTTCGTGATGCATTATTGTTATATCTTTTACACATGTATTTTGTCTGTTAATCCACTTGGTGGTTTGTAGCCATTTTATATGTCTTCATGCTTGGTATATAAAGCTGACATTTTAGTAATTTGCCTAACAGTAGAATGATATCTTCTCATTTGTCCCTTTTTAGGTATTGGATTTCCTTAACTCGTAAAGCTCATTTGTCAATAATTATTAAAGGTAAAAGTTTCAGTGCAGATTCAGTAAAATGTAGATTTAGAATTTTTTACGGATCATTAATGAGTTACTTATAACAAAATACAGTCGTAATGCATTTCGTACAAAATGATATGTTATCAACTTAGTGTATCTCGCTAGGATAGAACCTCTCATGCCTTTTTTTTTTCGTCCTCCGCATCCGTCGTTGCTCAATGTATAAGACAAATACACCACTTGTCAGCAAGGTGCGACATCCTTTTGTTATTTTCATTCGTGTTGGTCACATGTATTTACCAGAGCTTGTTTTAGAAAAGATATTTTGCCCGAAAACTGGCCTTAGCTTTTAGAATAAATTTTCACTTTCCGCTGACCTAATATAAATCAGTATTAAAGCAATCTGACGACATCTTGCCCGCTTTGCATAACAAGGAAGACGCAGCTTATGTTTCAAATTATGTACTGGGTTCGTAGCAGTACGGCGAGATTCCTTTGGTGAAATATATTACTCATTGGTCTCTACTCGGACTAAAAACGATCTAGGTTCGACACAAGATTCCCCACTTCAGTTATCCCCGGAGAGCAAAGCAACACAACACAGCAGCTTCGTTTACAAAATTCAAAACTAGTTTACTATCAGGTTTGCCTGGTTTCTAAGTTGAAGTGACTTGACAGAATAAAGATATTTTAGCAAGATAGACGATTAAACTTTAAAAAGAGATAAAGGCAATTAAAAAGATACGGTCATTGCGAGATAAACTATTACGGGCCGTGCGCACATGGCGGCAACACCAAGTCTGTTGATTATTTTCATTTGTACACACCTTCCTTTTTTATACTAAAATTATAGAATAAGGTATTGCCACAATGGGCAGATGTTCTGTTTACTGAAAAATTTCGGGATAAGGACCACCCAGGTGCATTGGAACTTGCTGTATAACGCTGTAATTTTAGAGTGAGTAAGAGTGAGCTAGTGTCAGACCAATGAGTATTGACTTTCACATGGCAGTAACTGAGCTCATAAGGTGGCAATTATTCTTTTCCTACTGTGACAAAATACTTATTCGAGCTATTACAGTACTGTTTTTTTAACGCTCAAATAAGTATTGCCTTATCCACACACACGCAAAATCACACGCGCGCGTGCGATCGTGCGCAGTAACACACACACACACTTCAATGTGAGCTGAAATCTCTCCAAGATATTTTATATGCGATTATTTCGAAATATGGATCACATTACCTAACTTGATCTATCTAACGCTAACGGAAGTCTTTAACACCATGATGCCTTAGCAAGCATAGACAAGACTACTTTTCTCATACACCAAGTAAAAAATTATGCTTATGTCAACAGCGTAGGTACATATTCACTAACAGTCTTGTTCTGCAATGGTCTGGAGTACAGTTCTTTCAGGACATTTTCGATCCTCTAAGGATTTATCAACGCAATTCGTAAAACATTATGCATTTGCCATTTATGCGTACTTCAGTGACTAGTTCATCGTGACACTGTGGCAGTGGGCAACATAGGCCAGGCCTACTAGTTAAGTATCAAGCACATGTAAATTTTATTAAACGTGGCGTCGGATCGCAGTTTTCTGGTATAATTACTACAGTGAACGTATTCAAGTCTGCACGTGAGGGACACAGAAAAACAATTGCTACAGAATAGATTATACTATCTTTAAAACTGGTGCATCTAGCGCAATCATCCAAAGGGGGCATGCAGCACAATCAGCCTGTTTATTTACTACTGCATATATACATAATCATGTCTATACGTTAGAGATGCAGAAACGCAATTGCTGCCTCATTGATTCTCTCTCTCTCTCTCTCTCTGGTGCCATGGTCGTTTCGACCCTCGGGGCCTTTATGATGCCAGTTTCAGCGTCCGAATCCTTGCTGCGTCCCATATTTTTCTTTGTGTGTTCATTCTTGTGTTTTTCTTTAGTTGGTTTAGGAACAGGAGCCTTTGTCTCCCTCTAGTTTTCTTCCCAGGAGTCTATCTAGCCAGGATGAGGTCTTCGAGTTGGCCTTCTCTAATGAAAATGGCCGGTGGATTTTATCTGTCTTTCCTTTATAACCCTAAGTTTTTGTCGGTCTTGTCCAACTCGCTTCAGAACTGAGATGTTAGAGAGCATTCACATCGAGAAGAGCCGAGGTCTAGTACGGCCGACACCTAAATATGGCGGACCCACATGAAAGGAAGACCGCATAATCCTTTAATGTTCTCTCAATGAATGTCACTGAATGTCATTGAGAGACCATTAAAGGATTACGCGGTCTTCCTTTCATGTAGGTCCGCCATATAGGTAGGCCTTGCTAGACCTCGGCCGTTTTCGATGTGAATGCCCTCTTAGTTTCATGAATATTATATGAGATACGCAGTATTCGACGGTAGAACCACATCTCTGCTGCCTGTATGTTTTTAGTCGTTGCAGCCGAGACAGTCCATGCCTCACTGCCGTACGAAAGAATAGATCATACAAAACATTTTAGTTGTCTGATTTTTATCAATTATATTACCCTTAAAACAGTGCAATAATCGGTTTATTGGAGCCTTAACGGATATTTTCTTCCCCAAACATTGCACGTGCTTTTGAGAGCCAACTTATTCTGAAATTCAAGTTGCTATTTTTTAACACATCAAGTATCCGTCACCTCTAAAAATTCTATGCGGCAATCATGAAATGATATTTGTACGTGTACTTATACCCTTTGTTTTTCAGTCTACGTTCACAGTAGAAGATGATAAACTTGTGCACGTCCAAAGAGGAAAACCAGCAGATTCGATAATTACCAGAGAACTAGAAAACGACGGTACTTTAAAAGTGGTGAGTACACACTAAAATGGCGTGAGGCGGCGCAGGGTGACGGATAGTTTGGAATATGGTAAGCATATGCTGCTTCCGTCTCCACTCTCCGTCTTGCACTTTACTGAACTACATTTACATTTCAATTCATGCTTTCGTTATCTAGTCTTCAGGTGACGCAGTATAGTCTAATTTGCATAACAAGGGGTATATAAACGGCGTAATTCGAACACCGTTCTTTGAATCAAGTTTAAATAGCCTACGTGCATCTTTTTGTGACCATTTATCTGGCAGTAGCAGGACAAAATATAGAGTTGATTTACGGCCGTAGCATAAAACTCTAGGGTAATTTTGAGCTCAAGCCTCACTATTTGATATAAATAACAGCAGTGATGCGTCAGACAATTTTTTTAATGTCGTGACTAATATACAGAGAAAATGCTGCCTCTGTACCCGTTCCTGATCCAACCACGCAAGATGTAATTAATCGCAAGAGCTCGTCCACACCTTACCCCATATATTCCAAATGATTTGATATACCTGCTCTATGCCGTATTGAAAAGTACTCGGAGAAATAGTAAGGAGCGACATCTTTGACAAAGTGACATTTTTGTATATATATAATTATATATAAAAAACAAAAACAGGATTGGTTGCTAAACCCGACCGGTTTATATTTAGCATGAGGGCGTTGTTTATTGTGTTGCCATGGAGGACAATCGCTCAATTCAATAATATCTCTATTTTCACCGGTGCAGATGTTTTTTTTTAAGTTGTCAGTATCATTTTATTTGTAGTAAGGACTACGTAGACTTGTATGTGAAGGGATTTAAAATCATCGATGTTGATAAATATACAGTTGTCGTACGCCTTTTTTCTAATTTCTTATATCAGTAGCGGATTTGGGAGAGGGCAGGCCCGTAGCCAGCAATTTCAGAGGGGGGGGGTGTTCGTTTCTGAAAAAGTGGACCTTTTACCATAAAATCCTCAAATACGCAGGTCAAATTTTACCCAGAGTGGACCTTTTCCCAGCAAAAAGGGTGGTTCTTTCGAACCCTTCGAACCCCCCTGGCTACGGGCCTTCACCGGGCCCCGAACCTCCACGCAAAGGGAAGGGGGTGGAGGGTCGGCTTCGCATCCGCGTACCCCTCATATATTATCCATTGTGAACGAACTAGCCTCTCTCCCCCAAGCAGTGAATCATCGCGGCACAGTTGTAATTTTAACTCACCAATAGTTTTTCAAAGGTTCTTCAAATTGACAAATAAGATTGGCTAATTGGAGGTAGGCGTTCGCCCTTACAGCTTATTCTAGCGTTTATACGTCGTAATAAATCCATTTCTTTGGAGTGTGGACGTTGTTGGTACCCATGGCAGTGGGTGCTGATACTGCCAATGTTCATTCTGCCATGGGTCCCTTTTTTATGTCTTTTTAATTTTTTATTAATTAATTAAATAATTTTGTTTATTTATTGTTATTGTTATTATTATGAATAAGCACTTTTCCATAGCTTTAAAATCGTCTTATATTAAATACATAATGTATAGTTAGGCCTACTCTATATAAATTAGTTTTTGTTCTAAACTGTAACAAAAAAAAATGTATGGTCACAAATCACAATAGCAGGTTATATTTGATGAGAAAAGAAAATGTTTGAATCGTAGAACCATTAGTAGAAGAATGTCAAAATCATTAAACCATTTTACTCGCGAAGAGATATTGGTGCAGATAATTTTGATTCTGTTTGCCTAACAACTGGTAACCAAAGTTAAGTCAAATTAGAAATTAAAAACTTTTAAGTTAAAACTTAAAAACAAGTAACATATAGCTTATTTCCTACAGACAAACACAGTCTCACACCGAGGTGATTGGAGGGATTGCTCCCTTATCCAGCAACTTTTTTGGCTGTATAAATGTCTAATGATTCATATGCTTTTGACTAACCCACCGTTATAATATTGATTCCACTCTGTTTTCTTTTACAGACATTCAAAGTGGTAGGGAAGGAAGAGGCAACATGCATTAGGAAATTCAAAAGAATAGAATCATAGTGAAAGACCGACATGTATTATCAGCTATTCGCCATTTTACAGACCATGGTACTACCCCAATAAAATATGTTATCTTGCAGTAGAATGTTTGCTGTTGCGTCTAATAATTGAAGTACGAATTTCATTCTGAGTTGCAAAGCAAAATCTTGTTAATATGACGGATCTTGCTACATGCATAATTTGACATAATTCACAAAGCTTTTCTTATATATTGTGCCAGTGACAGCGATAATGTGATTTTTAACTGCCACAGCCCCAGTATTTTGTACGGCGTGAACACACTTTGAAATAAAGCATGTGTTCAGATGTCAAATATGTTCCATAATGTTATAGCCTGTTTACTTCCTTTTGGTTCTTATTAACAACGATCAATGGCGACAGTTACATTCCAAAACCGTGCTGTAGTGTGAATAATTACTTAGCATGCAGTATTTAAAAGCATAAAGAATACTATATAAAGCTATAGATACTAAATTAACAGCCAAGACACAGTGTAATAACAAGATTCCCACGCATAGTGAACAACGTGACGGTGACCACGTCAAAGCCCTCGCTTCACCGGCTTCCTGTTACCGCCAAGGCTGCCAGAGGAGGTTGGTGGTCATGATTTACGCTTTAGAATCAGAATATTATTCGTCATGTATCCCGCAAACGTCCACGCACGCACGTTACGATGTTGCTAGCCTGAGGGTAGCAATGGAGAGGGTCTAAGATGGGTATTTGGATGTGTAAGTCTGAGTGCGGTGTGCTCAAATCTTCGCGCACGTGTGTGTTTGTGTGTGTGCGTGCGCGCGCGTGTGAGAGAGAGAAAAAGAGAGGAGTCTGTGAGACAGGGAGAGAACCACACTTTTCTGTATGTAATGAGATATAAAAGATGTACTGAGATTTGCATGAGGAATTGTTACAGGTCAATTGCCATGTGTGTGATACATCTAATCACTTCTTGTGGTCGCAGAAAGTACGCATCAATGACACTAAATCATGCAAGCTCAACCTGCCGAGGACACGAGCCGTATTCACCCAGGGGCAGTTGCACAACATAAGGTTAGAGAAGAATGGCTGATCTTAACCTGAAGACCAAAAGATTTGTCTAGGATAAATTCGTGATAATCTACTGATTTTTTTTTGTCTTAAACGTCAGTCATCATTATTGTGTTATAAAGCAAGTTTAGTGGTTCATTTAGCTTAGCTACTTGTAATTATGATAATAATAATGTATATCTTTTGAATTTAAAAGCAAAATCAATGTACAGAAGACTCAAATAGTATCATAAAAATTTTAACTTCTTGAAAAATTCTAGGCCTCTGATTGTTCAGTTACAATGCCCTTTTCTGTTTGCTTTACTGCCATATACTACATAGCTATTACCATTTGATTTTGACTGACCTTGTAGTTTGCAGTAACATTTATTTGTACTAAGATATAAAGAAAAATGCAAATAAGTCAACATTTCTGCTAGCACTGAATTCTCTCATGACCGTGTCTAAGACGCTAGAGCATTTAGCAAAATTAAAAGCTCATTCATTTTTTAAATTTTTTATTTATTTATTTATTTTTGTAAGAGAGCATATTACGAATCGATGGGTTTTTATTTCAAATGAAAGCAACGGAAATACTTCACTAATTTTGTTTGTTGTGTTCCATTTACTGTCAGAAAGGGCGGTTGAGGTACAGCTCTCTCTGCCGCCATGTATTTGTAAACGTCTTCTAAATTAGTTCGAATGTGTGTCGAGTTATTTGCTCTGCTGCATCGAATACCGAAACGACACGAATCAGTAACCGCCGAGTCCGGGCTGCATGCGCTGTGGGTGTTTTGAAACAAAGCAGCCACGCGGCCAATGCGATCCTCGTTGTATATGGCATTTAAAACCATATCCGGAACAAAAGCCTCAGCATTTACTATCATAAAAGACCTGGCCTAACTATTGGAATCAGTATCATTCGACGGAGGCCCGGAGACACGTCCAGATCACGGAGACACGTCCAGATCTAAGAACTCGAGCTCCGTCACCAACCCAAGGTTTACTTTGAAGGCCATTCAGGTAATGATAAAATGCAGTTACGTTTTTTCTTCTTAACAGTGCGTTATCCAGCATGAAATAAATTTCTGAACACGCTCCTTTTGTATACCAATAGCATATTTTGGTGTTATCTGACTACCTACTGACGGCATTCCAATCAAAGTGAAAAAAAAACATGTACTCAGTTCATTCAAAAGGGATTTGGCATGCAGTGTACATGTATGGCAGAGTATCTAGACGGCGTTCTCGCACACAAATTTAAAACTGCATGTCTGCCGAAAGTGGGCATCAAGGGAAATATAACTGATATGCAGGATGTCAAATAATGTAAACATTGTTTCATTTGCAAATGTACTTGTAGGTTAGCTAAAGAGGTGATTGGCTCCAACAAAATCTAATAGATGTGATCCGAATTTGACACTCCATGTTAACTGCCTGTACAGAACAAAGAGACCATGCAGATTCTATGCACAGCTCACTTAGCAATGTAGTTGCGAGAAGAAGGCACCGTTTAAGTATCTCAAAACTGCTATCGCTGTCAGATTGCACATATATATTTTACGTCTGGCGAAAGCCGTCCAAAATTTTACAAAAAAAAAGAATTTTAATGAAATTGCACAAAAGCATATGTTCGCCACAAAATAACGGAATTCAGATAGTCAGGATTTATTTGCCGATTAATGTTAATTTTGCATAGCGATGGGATGGAAATTTTTATAGGATAGTACATATAAAATACAAACACAAATAAAAAACATAAATTCAAATAAATTAAGCACATAACATTGTGTAACAATCGGGCACCTTAAACGCTACATGTAGGTGATTGTGATGGGACAAACAGGACAAGACTTTGTACCTGATAGTCACTTGCTACTTGTATGTGTATAGTATAAGCTTCTAGATATGTGGAGTAGTAGTACAACTTCTTTACCGACACTTATGCAAACGTCATCACTTTATCATTTACCTTTCGTAAAAACAGATTGAAATCTAATTGTTTTGGGGACTATTATGCGTTTTAAATACACCGTCGATCATTTGAAAATGTTTTAAAACATCACATCAAAGTATAATGAATCGCATTAACAAACTGCTGGATATTCCTCTGGTTCCAAGTGTTAATTGGACAAGTTGTTATGTCGTCAGCGCAATAGGTAGCGAAATGCAGGGCATTCAGATAAATACTGGGCTCTCGGACACATACTTAGTCAAACACCCCATTTCCATAGATATTTAGATCGATCTATCCCTATCCCTGGGGGGAGTCTCACTAGATTACTGTCAGCTTGGCCGGCTTAAGCATCTGTCCCGCCTACTAAAAGCTGTAAGGGGGTAATTAACTATGGTGTCCGCTCGGCTGACTGCAATTTAGCCTGAACCCCCAGGGAGTTAGGTCAATCTAAAACTTAATCTTAAGATCGATCTAAATCTCTGGGAAAGCACCCAAAGACAGATTTCTGTACAAACCCACTAGTTGCCATATGTCAGTTTATATTTGATGACGTCTAAGCTAGCGTGGCATGTATGAACTTTTTCTTTGACACAAGTATATTTTATTTTTTTAAGCATAAAATTCCCGTTGTATCTCAAACGTTTGGCAAATTAAAGCTTCGGGGACGAAAGCGTGCATTGCTGCCTGTACAACTAAAATTCCAATTAAGGGTTATTATCCAATTAAGGATTAGCACTAAGGATCTCTTGTCATGCTATTACAACCACCAGTAAATATTAATTAACAAACGCTGGCCCCTTGATTCGAGGAAGACTTTCTGTCAAGAACTAGTGTTTAATATGCAATGTTTCCGGCATATCGCTGTAATAATAATCAAAGAAACATTGATTAGCTGACCATATGCAATGATTTTCAAGTAACAGAAATGCATGGACAATTAAATTCTTGAGTAATGCATAGGAAGAGGTAACAAATCTGAACAGGGCGAAAGAGCACGTATACATTTGTGCCGCAGTTACTGGTCTTCGCATTTTCTGTTCAAGTCAAATTAAGTCCCATAGAACTGAAGTGTGGCATAATTTCTCGTCTTAAAGCCCGGGGGTGAGGGTGGGGGTGGGGGTGGGGGTGCAAGCTGTGTGGATCGAGGCGGCTCGATGATATGGGGAATAGGTAGACGATTCTGTTTTCCTGGGAATGGTTAAAGGAAATATCTGTTGACCAATTCAGCACGGCACAAGTGAATATGTGCGGATAGGCTGGTCAGGCCTTAGCACTGGTCGTTTCCGTTAGACTACAACAACTGAGGACTGAATCCTCTATCATGATTATAAAGTTTTCGTTTGTGTGAATTGTAACAAGTATTAAAAGCAAATATGCAATGTCGCGTTGGATTCGCTCATCAATGAAGCTAGAATGTATCTATTAGCAACGGATTCTAACGTGTCATGTGAATGAATCACTGTTTAACTAACTGAAAAAAAATATCATTTTGGAAAATAGGGATTTTATTCTTAAATAAACACATGATCACAAAGGACGAGCAGAAAAAAAATAAGGGAGTATGGAGTTTTTATGAAGTAGTTTGAACGAACATCGTGTATCATACAAATACGTAAAACTTTTGCTAATTGACAAAGAGGCCATCTCATCGTGTCCTACCACAGCTAATTAGCACTTTACCAATATCACTCAAAATTTGTAGTGTTAAACCTTTAAAACTTCAAAATTTACCCAAACATGCTCTATACACATGTTTCTGACCAGGTCCGCTTACGTCATGAGTTGTGACGTAATCCAGACTATAAACAGGACTGCACAACCTGGATAAGAGGCTGTTGTTGATGAAAACGCGGAGAAGTGAGAAGTGAGAAGTAGCAAGAATACTAGATATCCGCACAGCAAAAAGTGAGTTAAACTTTTCCAAGGGTGGCTTTTCAGGGCTAACAGGATCGTTGGTGGGGTATAAGCTTGTGTTACGTAGCGGATGATTTTAATCTAACTTTCTGATATACTCCATGTAGTAAGATGCGTTTTTTTTGCCCTTGGTCGTTTTTATTCTGCCTTCGAGTCGTAGATTGATTGTCACAAAAGATAGCTTATCATTTTATTTTATCTAGTGTAGTGTACTAAATAATAAAGTACATTGTTTTAACATTTATTTTATCAAGTATTCCTTTCTCACGCTCCCCGAGACCCTGGATACTAATAACTTTGGCAGGATTCCGTAACTCCTATAATTATCGAGCGTAGAGTGCTGTAATATTGAATGTGTCATTATTCTTTTCTCCGTATAGAGGATAGATAATTAAGATTATACTTTTTTCTTTGTTTAATTTTTCTGTGGTAATTCCTCAATCAGATGAGGGTTGTCTTAGTGAAATTCAGCAGGCTATTGCTTGGTACTCAATGTTGTCATTGCAGGGTTGTCTGTTAAGATGAAAATTAATTTTTAAGTGTTGTCCTTAGTCATGATATTTTAATTTAAATCCTTCAAAGAACTGTAGATTTGTCATCAGCTAGCGGTCAGCCAGTGCCAAATAATTCTTTTGGCAATCTTGCAAACATTAGATTTTGAAGTAATTATTCATCGCTTCCTTTTTCTTAGAATAAGGCTGACGTAACAGCGATTTCCCACGTTACCTCTTCATTAAAATTTGTCACTGAAATGCACTAATTAACGAAAGGCACATTGTAGTATCCTGAACAACAATTGGTAATTCTGCTTTCACAGAGGGGGGTAAAAATGCTCCGATCTGTGTTTTTTAATTCCAACAAACCTTTCGCTTTATAATTAAATGGAATCTCAATAATACTGTGTTCTTGCAAGCGTCTGTCATTGCCTTTTGTGGAGACATAAACTGGTTCGATACTTTGAATAATGTTATTCCATAAAATAAACAGAAAATATCGGAGAGCAAAATAGCAAAAGCTTAATTTCATTAAAGAAATGGCATTTTGAAATAAAAATGCAATAACAAAATAGATACCAACCTGCTATTTATAGCCGAAATTATTCATTGAGGTTACTGTAGCACGTGTTTTAGAAAAAAAATGTATAAAGGTATTGTACCAACTTTGTGAACAGTGCGCTATGTGACACGGAGGTCGGCTCTTTCTTAAAAAGTGATTCATAGTTTATTGGTCGTGGTGAATTGTCATCCATGTGCACTATAAATGGTGCTATCAAAGGTTTATCGCTCTTCTGGCTGTGAAGTTGCTACAGGTACCATGGTGAAGGTACGGGAGCTCACAAAATACGACAGAAAATAAACTGTTACTCTGAGGGAAAAGGGTATAGATGTCTCGAAATTGCCACCAGATATGGTGTGTCTGTTCATACTTTATGCAGGGTGTGTAAAAGGATGGAGGGCACTGGTGGAGTAACAATAGATATCCCATAATCTACAATGAGTTTCATACTTCAGGTCCAATAAAACAACAAAACACTGAAGAAAAAGGAACAAGCCATATACCAAAATCATTTTATACCTGTAATGTGTTAACATTAGCACTATCAAAATCAGCAGGTAAGATAATTAAAAAGCTCTTTGTCCTTAATTTGAAGACCGCTAGCGTTCGGGTATCCGACTATTCTATAACCCTGTTTTTTCTTCCTTTTTTCCAGGTGTGAGCTCGTGTTAAATTGTACCTTATACAAGAGATCAGCATGTGCTGCCGGTTCATCTTCATTGTCGTTCTGCTTTTCGGTATCTCATTGCTGACAAGTGGAGGCGCCCTCTTTGGCGCTAGAAACCCCAAATTGCCGCCTATTCTCTTTGGTCGCCGTTCCCAAGCTCCAACGCAGGGGCAGAGTCAGGTTCCTCGTGCCGACACTACCGACAAATGCGTCCTTAAACACGCTTCCCTTATCCCTTACTTCATCGCTTGCTTGGCTGACAAGGGTCAGATTCCAAAGGAAGATAAAACTTTGTTGACCAGATTCCTGCGCCAACATGTGACCGGGGAACGCAACGCTGATGGTGTGGGTTACAAGGCGAATCTCGCCAAGTAGAAAATCCCGACAAGACGACCAATCATTGGCGTATATTAACTTTCGTATGGCGCATGGCACATACAATCATTTTCAAAATTCAAGAAATTAAGTGCCTGCAAAGCAATTCTAACACTGGATATCTCTTTACATGACTCTAAGCTGCATTTATTAACAGTAGAAGTCTGACGGCTCAGCTTTATAACAATACGAAAATACTATATCATTACTGTGATGTTACTATTCTAATCAATCCCAACGCTGAGTACGGCGTTCAGCTGAATGAGCAGCATCCAAATTAAGCCAATACACGGTTGTTGACACTGCATTAACTCTACATTAAGACTAGAAAATGTGCGAGAATTTGCGTGAGGTATGGGATTAAGGTTTTAGCGATAATGGTAAAATTCTACGCGTCGGGAATGCCGTCTTAGACTGCATTCAGATTCACATATAGTAATTATAGCTGGGTCTTTTGCAAGCAAAAGTTGTAGCTGTTTTGATTGCACAGTTTAAACACAAATATATATGTATGGGAGATCTGAAACTTTACCTTAAATGCAATGTTTCTATTGCATAGTATCACATATTTGTTTTGACAATCAACGGCTAAAAGAATAAAGATTGTTGTCCAATATTTTAGTGTGTGTCAAGAGACGTACATGTAATTCAGGCAATGAAAGCAGTGTACATAGCGCGTCGGCAAGGAAATAAATTAGCTGCTTTGAAAGCATTCCGTTTTTATATTTAGTGCTATGCATGAACAATTTAATTTTCAAGAGTGTAACAACTAAATGACCATTACTTTCTGTCTTATATATATATATATATTGCTAATAAGAACGCTATACAGCCCAGTCTTGTTTGTTGTCTAAAAGACTAGTGCACATATATACCTAATGTCTTAAATTCTGATTTAACAACTTTTCTTTTTAACAAAGTAACGACAGTGGTAAGATTGACTGGTGGGTATTTTCTACATAAGCTCAACTTTACAATAATTCAAGCCGTATATTGTTTTATATATGCATGAAGGAATACTCGAGATTGATGTCACCCTTATTGTAGAGAGCAGTAATTGACGGGAAGCATAAAAAACTAATTTAAAGAGATAACTTGAGAACAGTATTGTTTCCCCAGATTGCGCAAATAATGAATTCTGTAAAACGCACTAATATAACCGGAACCTGATTGGTGACTTTCGGCAAATATCCAAACTAAAGGGTATCCACATATAAAAGTTTTCTATGATAGAAAATCTATCCTTACTGTCTACGTTGCGCAGGAACATGGCAGATATAAAATGCAACGTAGTCGCACCGAACATTGGTGTACATAAACGCATTAGGGCCGTTTATCAGCACACAATCCGCGCTGTCTCCCTGGGATCCGGTCAGCGGATGGCCTGGCAACCATTCCGTGAACACGCTGCCCGATGACGTCACATTGCCGTAGCGGAAGATGCCTTCAGTTTCCATGTCATTCACGCCTGAAACATGATTATCGGTGTACAAAGATGGCGTCCTGTGTAAAGGTCAAAATTGATCCTTGGCATAATGTAATGCAAGACGTGTAACACGTGAATATCAAGATTAAAATGTAAATTACACTTTTTCCTTTTCACAGGTTTCATTAACTATTAATCAAGGCCAATTAAGAAAAAACGCTTGTTTAACCAATAAAGTGGATACAAATTACGGTCACCCACCCGCCCACTAAATAGAATATGTTCATACTTATATGGTATTCTTTCTTCTTATCCAATGCTGTTACCAGTGCTTTGTATTCTGACTTCCGTTCAATAGTTGGTAAAACGCCACCAAGGTTTTTGCACCTGTCGATAGCCTGCTGATGATTTGCTGTTGAACTTGATATGACGTAACATCCGGAACCTATCTTGTTGTAACCAGGGGGGCATTCCCTCCCTTTTAAAATAAAACTTGGTGTTAAGAACATCTTCAGTGAAACGAGCTTTCATTAAATAAAAAATAAATATCATGTTTTTATAGCATGGCTTTCACTTAATACAAACAAAAACGGTGTAATAAGTTTTAATAGCATGGCTCTTATCAAATAAAGATGTTTTGAAAGCATGGTTATGTAAAATATTTCTTATACGAGAATCACAACCGTGATTGTTTTTTTTTAAAGGAATATTGTTTGAAAACACTCAGTGGAAGCCTCTTGGAGAGTCCTTTGGCACCTGTACTTGGTATTAAAATGTTTACTAGGTGTGCACATGTTTCATTTTGGCAACTTCCAAATAAAACAGCCATACATACATGTAGTTCTTGGCAAAAAATGCGCATAATGCACAACATGGAATATTCATAATTTGAACACACTCACATGGAAACTATAATTAAAATAAATAAAATTAAATTAAATAAAATAAAAAGAAAAATGTAAAATCGAAATAAGCACAGACAGATTAAAAAGCTATACAACGAAATATGACTCACATTGGCACTGGTAGGACCCATTGCTGTTCAAACACGTGTCATAACCGCTGCAAGGGTTGCTGAGGCATTCGTTGATATCTGTAAAGCAAGTAACAATATTATTTCACAATTATCTTCCTTTAAAAACAATTTGACTTGCGAGAAAATGGTGACAATTAACGCAATACAGTGTCTGGCCTAATCAAGATCGACATGCTATTTTTTATGTACATGTATGCCTTTTGACGTGATATGCAATTGTGATGAAAGAATTATCCCTGAAGGCACTCTATAAATCTATAGGTGGTACTATCTCTCACCATGGCAACCCCCCGTGATGTTGTCGAGCTCAAAGCCAGAACCACAGTCACAGCGCCAGCCGTTCTTGTCACAACTACAGGGTTGGCCAGAACACTTACTGCAGTCTGGAGTCGCTGCAAGAATAAAAACCCCATAAATTTTGTCATAGTGAAAGAATCATGTATATATGCCAATATCCACGTTTGTTTGTTATAAACTGTCAATTCTTATTACATGTACATTTTTATTTGTAAAAAAAATGCATTCAAACTAATGCATGCCTTCAACATCTAAATTACCTCAAGTGACAGCTGACGCCTCGGACCGTTTATGTTTACGTTGTCATTTGCCTTACCCAAAATATTTAAATCTATGACAAAAACGTTTACGATTAAGCGGCTTCCAGGAGGACTCGCTAAAAGATGTGTCGCACATCTCAAAGCACCAGTTGGCAGGGTTACGATCACCATCTTCGTAGCAATAACCGTTAATTAGGCACGTTCCACGCTACAAAAATACAACACACTTAGATAAACTGTACATATACAATTGTAGCACACCTCAGAAAGTTTGAAAGCCATTTGTCACTCTTGTAATTGCAATAATTATCAAACTTATAAGCCTTAAGTTACAAATGCAGTTCCTAAATAAGCATAAGAATCATGTATCTCAATTCATCAATTTGTATATATTTTTTTCATCGTGGACGAAAGTGGCTGAGGCATAATGGAATTATGGAAACGAGCACTGCATTACATGTACTTAGTATATTAGGGCCTACTAGAGTACGAGTGCACATTAATAGGCAATGAATAATACATGATTAAGCGATAGAGTATGGAGAAAAAAGTGGGTACTTAATTGACATTTGTGACATTGTAAAAGCACTGTGAATGTTGTTAGTTGCCATGATTTGCCAACACTGTATAATATCAAGGGTGTCTGCAAAAATAGATTTATATTGCACTAGGGAAAATATCATTTCTTTTAACTACAGTATATATGCTGTACCTACAAAAACTTACCTTTTTCGTGCACTGTCCAAAAGGTTTACAATCTACACATGCTGAGTCAAATAACGTGACAAAACTTTCGTTTTTCCCAAACTTCACACCATCATTGCTAATGGACAGGAGAAAGCCTTGCGCAGGCGTACCAGCTGTTCCGGTAATAGTCACTGGCGGTATGATTGGATCACGTGGTAGGTGACACGTGACTTCAGAGAAACTAACGAATTCGGCCACAGCATGTCCCGTAGTTGCTGGCAGAATTGTGTAGGTCCCCGTGCTTATATCGATCTGAAGGTTTTGAGAAGGATAAACGTACCCGGTAGATCGTTAAGAAAAGTTGCTATTGTAATTGTTTATCATATTCATTTACACATAGTGCACATGTGTAAATGAATATGGTGTACATGTATATGCAAAAATTCTGCCGGATCATTAAAAGAAAACAGTACACAGTATGCAAGATCGGGAACAATTAATTTACAAATATGGCAAACAGATTCCTAATTTAAAGCAAACCAAGACATTTATGTACCTGAGCTTTTGTTACCCGACAGGAGAGGCGATCACTGCGAGTGACTGGTGTCGCAGGATCAACCAGAACTCGGAACTTGAGGCATGGACGCGTTTGGACGTCACACAGACCGGCATTCTGCACCTCAGTAATCTCCGGAGAAATGTTCGAGTTCACGGAGCAGTCTGCCGACATAAAGCCCGCTTCACAAACACAGTTTCCGTCCACACATTTGCCTTTTTGACTACACTCTCGAGGACACGCATTGGTTTTGATTTTCTCCGTTAACTCGGCAATATTCAAATGTGGAATTTGTGTTGCAGTTGTTGTTGTTGTCGGTCCAAGGGAGTCTACGTCTTTATCCTCCGGGAGAACTTCTTTGACTGCAGTTGCAATGCATGTGTCCACCATCTCTGTGACAGCCTCGTTTGCAAATCCCATGTCGTCAGCGACCTGTAAGGCCCAGATATAGAATTACCGAAGTGTATTTTATATTTTATTTAAATTTAATTGAATTCGACTTTAAACAATGCATTTGTAAAACCAGGAATGAATCTGAATTAAAACCTATTTGAATGCATAAGACTTGTGCATTTAAATTTTTTCAAGGAATATCGTTTTCCGTAGGGTAAAGCGGCCCTTTTACATGGAGAGGCATATCGGCATTGAAATACTTACGGAGTTGACAGCTTTTGGGTATCAAAATTATTATGGCTATAACTTAAAAAGAGTCACACACATAACTGGAATGCCTGCGCTCGGCAGGGCTATAGTTAACCGTGTGACAGGAATGGTACATGTAGTCCGCTAGGAACCGCTAGGAACCCCAATACTCCGACAAACCTTAACCTGCACTGATTAAATGGGACCCCGGACTTCCATTCCTAGGATTACCATTCCTGTCACACCAGATTCACGTTGTTACATCACCATCTAGACCTTCCGCCCACACGGCTATACGGATATTTGTGAATGGCGTAAAATACCACAAAACATGTTAGGGCCAAACATTTCTATACCGATGCAGTTTATGTGCCACAAATCCGACTCTCACCAAGATGTCGTCAATGCACTTTGGAACATTTTCAAACGGATCGAATCCCGGGACCTCTTGGCACAGGTTCACCACCGATGAATTTGCAAGGGTGTCGCGACACAGCTGCGCGGCCTGGGTCTGGGTGATTCCGCTGGGTGTGGGCCAAGTTAGGTTAACTACGGGCTTGGAGTAGTCTTCCTTGAACGTGAACACATACGGTTGGTAGTCGCTAGCTTCATCCGTATATGACGCTTCCGGAATATCACGCCTTTTCCTTCGGCCAAGGTTTCGAAATTCCACCACTTGTCTTGGCACTACACTTTCTAAATTTTTTTTGCTGATAATGTCTGGTTGTGTCACACGTTTGTCAAAGTCACACTTAAGGTATGTCGCGTCTGCGACCACAGAGTCGTTCTTATGGCAGTGGCAATACAAAGGTTCTTGTGACTGTTCTTTATATTTTGGGCTTTTGTTGAAGTAGTTTGTTTCAGGTTTGACTCTGAAAAGATGTTGTGAACAAAAAAAATAATAATAAATGCCAACAAAAACATATTATCTCATTTTGTAAAATACATGCTAACCATTAAATATGTAAATATTGTTACTGCACAGAGTCCAGTCTTTTCAAAAGTTGTAATACACGATGAACGCAAGAATATTATATTACAATTCATTATATTTATATAATGAATCATATTTATATTGTTATATCATAATGATGTTTTACCACATGCAACGCTGTCCACTTTAAACAACATTGACCGATGCTTAGAATGTAAAGCGTTCAATCTAAACAACCAGTTACAAAACACTGATTTAATAGTGTTATAATGGCAAACGTCACCTAATGTACAATAATGTAGACACAAGCAATTACCTCCATCTCTGATGCCAACTGGACTCGCTTCTGTCGATATCTCTTCTCTCGTCGTTACGATTTCCGTTATTGTTCCCGCACAGTCCTTCCACTTTGCCCCTGTCATCACTGGGGACATGTACGTACAGGTTTAAACCGAAATAACGGATATCAACGATGACATAGGCGCCAGAAGGAAAGTTGATCTGCAAAAGTCATTATTTGAATGATCTCCTAATTATTTTTAAATAATGGCTTCAATAAAAGACAATCGTATACAATAAGTTAGCGCAGGGCGATTCTAGTAGTTTCATTGCTAATGTCGATATTTTAAGTAAGGTGTAAAGTCATCATCTAGAATTATCATTTCTGACTTATATATACATACGATGTATTTCCTTCCATTTTGGTCGCTTTTGATGTGAGCGCCATCTGCCGGTGGTTCGTCGTTGGCTGACCGTCGCAAAATGCGTGGAACTACAGCCCGACGTTGACGCACGTTGTGACAGACATCCAAGATGTATACGTCATTGTTCTCACGGGCTGCAACGGCGCAGTTACACGTTTGGTAGCTGCGACATTTCCAGTGCCGTACCTGGACCTTTGTGCAAAAAAAAAAAAATAATAATAATAATAATAAATAATAATAATAATAATAATAACGATAATAATAATAATAATAATAATAATACAACGTAATGTATGAAACTCCACAGTTGTATCTTTGTATCTTATGTCAACATTAGTGCAGCTGGTCAGAAACTCTGTTTGGTTTACATGGTATTTCGATTTTATTGCATTGGTTAAAGTTACAATAGATAACATAATAACTTAACGGAAGGACCGAGTCACAGTTTTGTGACGTTGCATATGTACGTGTCAATTTCTTTCTATTCATACATGTTGGAACCAAAATCTATTTCATCTTCGTAGTAAGTCAATTCTCCCAGCTTCGGGTCTAATGAATCCGTTAGGCGACCTTGCCCAAAGTCAATAACTGTATTACATTCTACGACGAACTTAACAATTTTCTCTTTATTCAACCTGCTATGCAATTAAGGAAACGTATAGATATATACCTCAAAATCCCTTGTCTGGCTTTTTGCAAGAACAAACTCCCCTGCTCGCTGGCTGAAGTACGAACTGAAAAAAGGGTCTTCCTTTGGTTTTTCCATGCACATAAAGTTCACATGGTAGCATGGCATACATACCACATTATCGTACAGCTGATATGTTGTTTTCAGACATCAAATCACAGTGAAGTTAACGTTTGACCCAAATCACTTAATAAAAGAATGTCTATATAAAGCGCTACCCAGAAAACACAGAACGTGATTATGACGTTATCACAACGTTTATAAAACCGAAAAACGTTAAGGCTACGTTATGCTAACGCTAGAAAACGTTGTGTGTTTGCTGGGAAATAACGGATAAAAATGATATGTCTATGCCGCATGCTGCTATCTGATACTCACTATCTATCAAACGTTTCTATACGAGGGTCATTGTAAGATCGGCACTCGCTGTCGGCGACGTCAGTCGTATAAATCTGAATTGAAACTAGAAATTCACACAAAATCCTGCTGATTATGTAAAGCGCAACTCTATAATACCAAAAGACCAAACGCCTATTCCATATAAAGACACTCTTTATAGATTAGATATTTAGGTATGTCGCCATTTTTGAAAACGTTGACTGTGTTAATTGTATCTAAAAATGTTATTGTTATATACGAAATATAAATGAGTAGAATGATACAGCATTTGGAGAAAAAGCATTCCCTTAAACATACCGGAATTTCCTCCATTTGATAGCCATGCCATATACTTCGTGCTGGTGCTGGTGGAAATCCTTGAAATATGTTTATTGGTCGGAATTGTAAAAGACGTGAAACACTGTCCCTGGCACCGTCGTTTCTACCGTCTCGCTGCGCCAACATCTTCAGCGTGGACGAGGCATACGCGCGTTTGAGCTTATCATCCCATGAGTCCTCGGTGAAGGAAACAGCACATTTGAAACTCTAAAATGAAAGCAAGGAGAAAATGTTGACATCAGTGATTTGGTAGGTATATGAAATGTCACTATGACAAATATTTGTGTTCCATCAACATGATTGCGACAGCTGTAAAGGACTTACTATAAGATTATTTTAATATACACTATAGGACAGACTTAACTGACTTAATGAAAATTGTGTATGCGAAACTAGGGAAGAACGTTACAGAAGAAGATGTTTCAAGAGATTACGTGACGGACCAAAGTGTCAAAAAGTGCCCAAATTAAAAGATATCGGGACTGTTATCAATCCATGGTTGACTGGTTAAAGTGGACAATATAAACAAACATATCACAGGGGCGGATCCAGGATTATTTGAAGGGGGTCCGTTGATGCAAAGCCACGGGGTTCTGGGCCTGCTAAAGGGCCCCGAAAAATTTTGATATTTGAGGGTGAACGATGCCATTTAGTACGGTTAAGAACTATGATTCAGCTCGTCAAAATTCTAAATTTAAGAGGTGACCAGAAATCGAAGGGGGCTCAGGACCTTCTGACCCCCCTCTAAATCCGCCACTGTATCATATGTAGCATATTTGACAAAATATCTTATTTGTGACGCCATTACCTTAGGACTCCCATTGTATATTACACTGTCCAAGATAGTAGTCTCTACCTTCAATTCAAGAGGTTGGACATACGTTTTGCCGTCTTCGTACTTATGGCTCGTGTGTGTGTTGACTGCAATAGGGATGGTTGAGTAAACCTGAATCTCATATTGCGGACTATTTTCTGCTAGCACAATTCTTTTTGGTGTGGTTCCACTCGTCTTTTCCACAACCTATATGTCATTAACAAATTAAAAAGTGGTAAATAAATTTCTTCCGGATGTTGGAGTATACAATGTAGATTCTATAAATCAACCACGGCTTGTACATTTAAGCTTGTGTATTTACTTTTCTATAACTTCTTACGACATCAGAATAGAATGACAGCATCAAATATTATTTTCAAAATGGTAAGTGGAATGTCACTCAAAAATAGAGACAATTGATGTTAAAGCTGTAATCTGGATTTAAATGTGTTTTTTCAAATCAAAATGAACGTTTAAATACAAAGTTGAGCAAATGAAATAGATTTTAAAATATATTTAGGAAAGCACTAAGGAATTTCACCTTGATACCGGCATAATAATTATTCGTGGCGTGTGCTGATGCCGTTGGAAGGTGGTTATAGTTGACCCAGAAAGACGATGCATTGCAGGAGAGCTGGAAATATAAAGTGGTAACTGGGTTGTTATTGGTTTTAACAAGGCGTATCAACGACATATAAGACATATGCTTGTCACTAATACTATAAGTCAGTGAAATTCATGCAGGAAACCATTGTGTGGCAAATATCATTTGGCCTTACTTTTGACAGAATACAGTTTAAACAGAAAAAAATTCATTCGACATGTTTCTTTTTCCAACATACTGCAGTGCTCAGACCACAATGGTATTGAAATATCAATAACTTTGAATGGAATTGTACAGTACTAGCCGAGTTGGAGTACCCATCTTTAAATCGGAATTTGAAACTTGAGAGGCAATTTTTGAGCTTATCTAATATAAATTCAGAGGTACAATATGTATATCTCACATACAATGTACATGCATTAACTTATATCATGTAATTAACACGTGTTACTAGTGATGTTAGATTATGCTGTTCTAAAACCCAATTTAATCAGTGTGGGCGATGGGTTTCGCTACATAACAACTGATAATATTTAGACATATTTCTATTGTCCACCAGAAATAACACGTTCGCAAACTCACGTATTTGCCTAGATTCCCTGTGAGATTCGCAATTCTCAGCTGCCTTGAGGCCCTCCCCCTGGCTCCCGTGGTCACGTCGTCGTCGATGAGGGCGTTGTCTGCGAGATAACTGACACGTATCTTGACGTCGCCTTCATCACGCGTGCCAGCGGGCACGTTGTATGTCACACGGCACGATATGATCACCTGTCGTTCCTCCACGACTGGAGTCTCAATGATGACGTTGGTGATGGAGATGACAGGCAACTTAGCTGTGAAAAAAAAAAACGTATGGAAGATGCAAACAGTAGGATTCACGCATCAATTGGCTGTTTAAGATTTCAAGATCACACACACACGCGCGCGCTCGAGCACGCAAGAACACAAACACAGAAAAAAAAGAAAATGGGGGATAAATAGTAATATATATTAACACTTTAAAAGGACCATTGAATTAAGATGAACTTACTGACACATCTTCCATTTAACTTAAATTCTCCTGTAGGGCATCGTTCCACTTGTTCTCCTAGAAAATTCAAGGTCAATCAAGTTTAAATGAATTTAAACCGTTGTGGCGTTGAACAAAACAGTAGCGAAAATATTTTACATATTAAAGGGCATATGGCACATGAAGTGAAGAAAAGGGAAAGATAAAAAATTCGCGACTACCCAATTCTATGACATAGTAAATAGTTTTAAAATTTAACTAATAATAGGACCTAACCAAACTGCATTGAATAACCTTTGTAACCGCAGGAAAGGACAGGGGCTAGAAATGTTCACAATGTCATTTTTCAATGAAAAACAGTCTTAATTGCTTGTTATCATAAAACCCCACACGTAGTATAAAGTGGATTACTGAAGCAGATTCACTGTTTCTCATTTCAATTAGTACATATTCAAACTATACGAAGTGTAAATTGGTCCTAATGGGAAACGCAACAGCTTCTCGCCTACGTGTTAAGTAACAGGGCGCAGAGATGTGAAGATTTTCTTTTTTTTTTTTTTTGGGGGGGGGGGGGATGCAGTCACCGAAGTAGCGCAGAATTTTTTTTGTCGGTTCCCTGTAAATAAGCTCAAACAGGGCAAACGACAAAGACGGTGTCGATAGTTTTTGACAATGATAATAGTACTGTCCCCGGAAGTGGGTACGTTGCGCAATAACTTCGCAATATTCGAGGTATTATTGCGCACATGCAAACGAGACTTCAGTGCCCTACACTCAAAACAAAAACGCTTAGCTGTTTCTAACCTTCACTTACCTGCGCCGCAGTAGGCCACATTACAGCCTGGAGTCGGTGGAAGTTGATACACGTAATAATCCTCATTGTTCAGCTGACAGCGTTTGACTTTAATGTTCCAGAACTGAAAGCACGGAGCTAAACCGTAGTTAACGCACACCTGAAAGCAAAGAGAAAATGTAATTATAAACCAAAAAGTGTGTGATTGTTTTCGAAATATCTTTAAAAAACAAAGGTAAATCAGCAACCCCCACCAAGCGCATTACCTCCTTTCTACGTCGTAATGACATCACGGGGTCAACACGACGATAAAAAATTAATGCACATGGACAGGTTAATTTATGGAGAATATGGCCCAAGATCAATACCTACTTTCTGTGTAGTCTCCGTATAGTCTTGGGGATGCTGTCCATCAAGATACACGGGTACCATAGTACCGCAACTGAAGGGCTTTACCAGATGGTCCGCCAACTTACTGCCAGCTTTGCCAATGAAACGGTACCAAAGTCCGTCTATGAAAGCATCGTCGCATAAGAATGGCTGGTTGGGCGTGGGCTTGTGAGTGTGGTAGCGGTCACCATTGTAAAGCTCCACGTGACACGTGTTTTCACATGGGTCGCAATCCAAGTTGACAGCACCGAAAGTGATACATGTACCTGCAAGAAGGCGGTAAATATTGCTTCTGTAGTCGTACACTTGAGTTTCAAATATTTTTAAAACCACGAAAATACAGTTAACGACCTTTCAAACAACAACTACACGCGTCCTCCAACGAAACCCTAAGGCGTATCTGAAACTCGTTACACCGAAATTGCAATTGTTTGGATAACAATTTTGGCCCACTCTTACGAATTTATAACAAAAGAAAAGACCACGATGTTTACAATTCATTAACACGGATGTAGGAATTTGATGTTCACTATCAAATTATTCCATTCTCCAGCCCCCAATTTGAAGGGAGAAGAGATGGCAAACATTCTCTATCCAAGCCGTCACAAGCCCGGTGTAACAGGTGCTTTAAACACGTCAAAACAAACCTGTTGATATAAAACTAAACATGTGGACAAAATTAGGAACGGCACAAAAGATATTTCATCGTTACCTGGAGATTTTAAGCTGTTTGTCTTTTCTTTTTTAATTACACAAATGCCGACAATATGTGTGAGATTTTATCATTTAAAAAAACTCTTTCTTTCACAAAACCGCGGAAAACATTTATATTAAATTCATTTCCTAAAATTCTTGGTACTCACCCACTAAAAAAGCACATAGAATCACTAAACCAAGAGAAGTCCTCATGATTCGAATTTAAGTTTAACTTTCCAGATTGAGAGTAGGCATTACTTGAACTACAACTCTTGGCACCTTTCTGATGGGGTATGGACGCAGTTACACGTTTAAGTCACCAAATGTTTATTTATCTCTCTGTGTCTATCATCTCTGTCACTGCTGGCGCGTTTTTATCATTGCAGTCGGACAAAGTAAACGGTACTTCCTTGTCGTGTAAATATGACTTAGTTCTTATCACGCCGTCCTGGCATAAGGCTCGATATGGTAAGACAGCATATGGGGTGCCTCCCAGAACTCTCTAGCCTGTCGTCTGCTTTTTTAATATTATTTATTCATACTGTTGTCTGAATGATTCAAAACCGTGACTCAATTTTGAACTTATAAAATAGATGACGAATCTGATTTGCTAATTTCTTGCCAAGTTTTTGTCCATTTTTTCAATCTATTAGTTATTTTTATTTTTCAAATGTTACCCATTAGTCTATACATGTAGACGTGTATCTGACTTCATGACTCGTACTCACGACTGCCTTCATAATAACTGCACGTAGAGACAGGTTTACGGTAGAAAATATTAGAACACACCACTTTCCCCTATTTGAAATGGTGCACGTCGTCACAAACGGTAAAAATATAAATGTTGGAGATACGTTTCTCCCCCTCC